GGAAGTTTTTTTTTTTTTCTTTTTTTTTTTTTTTTTTTTTTTGGAGAAGAGTAGCTTCCTACTTCAAAAGGATATGTCTTTAATGGGTGTCCTTCCACTATTAAAAGACATCAGTAGAAAATTGTGTTTGATGATAGATGAGCTTTGTTAAGATTTCCTGCTGGAAAATACAAACATCTACTAGTAAATCTTTCCCTGAGATTCTTATTTGAGAAATCTATTTTAGAAGGATGCAAAAAAGAAAATTAAGGCCATTGCCCCCTTCTAGGCCCCCTTCATTTTTTTTTCCCTCTCCTGACAGTATAATATCAGGTTTACAATACAATATCAGGTTTCTGGTTCATGATTTTGGATGACGTGGTGAACACCTGCAAGCTTTTGCATGAAGTTCTATGCTGTATAGTTACATTGCTCCTGAGGTTGATGAAATCTAAATTTTGAATTCACTGTTGAAGAGCAAGACATAGTGATCTTCAGAGATTACTCTGGGTCTAAGTGCTCATTGTTTATGTAGGTGATCTTTGCTCAGACAGGGGAGAGTTACTAAGCAGTAGGTTCCCAACATCTATATATTCATTTTTGATGACCAGAGGAAGACAGAAATGGGAAGGTAGGCTGAATCGGCCCTGTGACTGCAGTGAGGCAGCCCGGGCTGCCTAGAGAAAGGAGCAACGTGCGGCCTGGCGCCTTCCTGTGCGGGGCTCGTGGCACCGTAAACACCCCCGCTCGCAGGGAAGGGAGCTCCTGAATTTGTGCGAGTGGGTACAGCCAACACCGTGGCCAAAACAGGTCCTTAGTTCTCACAGGAAGAATGGCCTCTAAAAGAAAGCTGTGCATTTCTCCCAGTTTCTGAACTGTTTGGTATTTTCCTGGTAACCAAAGAACAGCTCGCTCGAAGCAAGTTCTCACATGTACCTGATGCTAATTAAATTATTCAAACAGTATCAAACTCGTAAGTATTATGAGGGTAAACCAGCTGTGTTTATACAGTGTATTTAAACATGGTCTGTATTCTTGAAGTGAAATCCTATCCCTGTTGAAGTTGGTGTCAAAGCTCTAGTGGGTCCAGTGCTTCACCCTAGTTGTCAACTGTGATATTTCAGTATCAGACTCTTGTGCGTGCAATATATTTACTGAAGAATGTCTTGTATTAGATGGAAGTAAGGACAAAGTTTTAAAAAAAGTGTTTCCAGTCAACAATGAAAGACTGTAAGCTGTGGAAACACTCCATGGAAGTATAGAACTACAGCAGTATTTTTGAATCTATCTACACTTGCAAATCATTTGTGTGCAGATTGCTTGCTTGACATTTCGTACATCTCCCCATACCTAACCCTTCATTTTCCTTTTTAACAGGTAGAGAGAATTGTTGACAAGAGGAAAAACAAGAAGGGAAAAACGGAGTATTTGGTGCGATGGAAAGGATATGACAGCGAAGACGATACTTGGGAGCCAGAACAGCACCTTGTTAATTGTGAGGAATATATACATGAATTTAACAGGCGTCACAATGAAAAGCAAAAAGAAAGCACATTAACCAGGACAAACAGGACCTCTCCAAATAATGCCAGAAAACAAATCTCTAGATCTACCAATAGTTCTTTTTCAAAGACATCCACTAAATCTTTAGTTATGGGTAAAGATCATGAGTCAAAAAATAATCAACTTTTTACTACCACCCAGAAGTTCCGGAAAAACAATTCACCATCTCTTTCTGGCAGGAAAAATATGGACCTTGCAAAATCAGGTATAAAAATCCTAGTGCCCAAAAGCCCAATTAAAAGCCGGACAACAGTTGATGGCTTCCAGAATGAAAGCCCTGATAAAATGGACCACATTGAACAGGATCAAGAAGATTCCATAGCACCAGAAGTAGCAGCAGAGAAACCAGTGGGAGCTTTGTTAGGACCTGGCGCAGAGCGTGCTAGGATGGGGAGCCGACCAAGGATACACCCCTTAGTGCCACAATTACCAGTGCCAGTAACAGCCACAATTGCATCAGCATTAACAATAAATGGAAAAGGTAAGCATACAAATTGCTCTTTTTAATGTAGATTTTTCATTTGACTGATCTTTTGCTGTTTGGATGCAGATGGATTACCCAGTTTGTTTCAGCCATGTTAAACAGAGTGACAATAAGCAGAGAAATAATATCACAGCTTTATTTTACATAATTATATGACTAAAACATGTAGAGTTTTGCCAACTTGTGCTTTCTTTTTAGAACGTCATTGATATATGTGTTTTCAGAATCACCATAAGATACATCTGTGTTTGACTTGACATAGTGTGGTACACATGCTCAGTGTACCATTTCCAAAATTACATCATTGCTTTTTCTCTAAATAGGCCAAAGGCTCAAATTTGACCCAAATTTGATCAAAAATGATAGGAACAGATGAATAAAAAGAGTAGAGATTATTTATAGCACATCATGTGTTCATTTTGTTAAAAATATTGCCTGGAATAAACCTGTGAGAATGGTAGTGTTCAGAAAAGAAAGGTTATTAAGTTTTGTTTCGGTGAAGATGCATATGCCTTCTGTCTCGGCTGCATTCTGCCTTCATTATATTTTATTACATTTTATTAATATTTTGTGGTTTATGCGTCTTTCTTTTGAGAGCTTATTTAGGTTTAATGCCTGGGTATCTAATATTTTGGTAGACTACAGTTTATTCAAGTTGTAGTGTGAGGCTTGTAACACCACAAAAACATGAAGTGCTTTTGTGGGAGGAAACCATTCTTGCTTCTTCCCCTAATCTGAAACCCTCATTTAAGACTTTGCACGTTCGTCGTTCTGACCCCCCTCCCCAAACCCTTGTTGTTTCGTGACAGACCCGGGCTGTTGTGTGGTCATGGCTGGTCTTGTAAGCGTGTTTCTGGGGTTACTTTTTCAAGTGTAACACTGCACCGGCAAGCAGTACTGCAGGAGGTGCCGTCTGCAGGGGTGCTTTTGATGATGGCTTGCTGGAGAAATTGCTTGAAAACTCAAAACTGGGCCAACTGGGCCAAGAAGGGCACTTTTGGGCCACCTACACAAGCACAAAAATGTACTGAAGTCCGAGCGTGTGTGCGAGGTGCCCCACTGCGGCTTTCATGTAGAGCGGGGAAGGCCGCGGACCAGGAAGGAATCGTCCCCTTCCTAGGGGATGGAGGGGGAGGTCCCTGGAAGGGCCGTGTTGGGTCACGGAGCAGGCGCGGGAGCAGACAACCACGGCGATGCACACGGCGGCGCCAGAAGCACCGCTGCCTTCGCACGGGCTGGGGAAGGGGTCTAAATCTCGGAGGACGTAAGCGGAGCTGGAAGGGAAAATGTGCGGGGTGACAGAGTGTAAGTTTTCTGAGTAACTGAGGTGGTTAATTGGGCTCGCACGTGTGGTGGTTTTGTGGTAACTGATACAGGGTTGGCGCTGCTAGCACAGCGTCGTGGTGTTCCCAGTGAAGAGGTGGATAGTGCTGCTTTTGACATACTGTGTTTTGCCTTGTGGCCAAAAAAAAAAAAAGGAAGCAAAGACCTTCTTGGGTAGATCAGTAGTCACAAACGATTAAATCGTTCCCCCTGGTCTTGCATTCTGGCAATACTGGTACAACCATGGCCCAATCAGAGTGCACCCAGTGGGTGAAAGGACCCATGTGTGACAGCAACACATAAAATATCTGAGGTGCAAGTGCCTATATGTCGTGGAGATGTTACTAGTCCTTCAACTGCCACCTCCTCCCTCTGCTCTCACTAAGTCATTTGTGTGGACAGCTGACAGTGAAAGCTGCCTGCTGACCCTTGGGATCATGGCAGTGTGACACTTTTCTAGCTCTTTCATATGTTTTCAATGGAACTAAGGTATAGTTCCCTAAAGAAAGAAGAGCCAAGGAGGTAGTCACCATACGTAGCTGCCCAAAAGTATGCAAGATTTTTCAATCTGCTGCTGGAGGGACTTTTGTTCAAGCAAACTAATGAAGACTTTGCCCTTGTGTCCCTGACACGGCGCTGCGAACCCCCAAGCTCGGCTGTGCAGTCTGCTGGGAAATAAAAACCACATCTCCAAATTTATTACCGATTGCGCGAGGTTATAATCATCTGCAGCTCTCAGGGGTAATCTCTTGGTAGCAATTCTCTGATTGCAAAACTTGGGAGCAAAGGTGTTTTTCCCACCGCAGCAACGTGCGTGGGCTCCAGCTCGGCAGCCCTGGGTTGCCAGGGAGGACCTTCACCCAGAGAGAAGGCGAGAGGTGCCCCTAAACACTTCACCCCACTGTATTTTTAACGTCTCGCTGCTGTTGAGTAAAACGTAGTTAAATAGGTCCTTCCCTTCCCCCTCGGCAGTGCTGAATCCTGCCTTGTTCCTTACTCAGGACATTCCTTCCTTCCTAAACTGGCACCTCGTCGCGTTGTCAGCACTGTCAACGCTTCAGGGATCGTGTATCATGGGCAGTATTTATTGTACAGGAACCTCATCAAATTCCTATCCCCGCCCTTAGCTCCGCGTATGCACCAGGTCTGACATATTACTAATAAAGTTGATAGATCTGGCATTTTGGAAGGGTTTTTTCAAGCTTCCCACCTCTTCCGCGTGCACCTTCTCTTGGTTTTGAGAGTTGTCGGGAAGACAAAAGCTTGTTTTGAAAAGCAACCTATTACTTGAGATGGTTCAGAAAATGTTTATTAAAACACTTCTTGTTGAGGAAAAACCCAATTTGTAAAAACAGGAGCTATTAATTGGAAAAGGTATTTTTTAAACTTCTGGAAAAGTAGACACTTCAAGAGTTTTAGACAGCTTTAAAAATGAATGTCTAAATTGACTATAATTCAAAAAAAAAGTATTGGAAATGATCATTTAAAACTTTATAATGAAAGCAGTTAATATTAATTGCAGTAATCCCCCAAAATGCTTTTCAACTATATAAATTGCCTTGGTTGCATAGTCCTAATTCACTCTCCATAGTTTAGTCTGTTCTGTATGTTCTTTCTAGCCTAGCTTGCTTATTTATTCCTCAGACTATTCAATAGGAGGAAAAAAAGCTATTAACCATTAGCATTAATGTAGTGGCTAGTCAGGCATTTCGTGGGGCAAGCCTGCGTGGTGCAGCTCTTGCTCCGGAGTTCGCATGGCCTCAAGCAGGACAACCAGCAGAAAATGCTAGATATGCAGGTTACCAGGAAATAAAGTAACAGTAATGTTTGCTTTAGGAGCTGATGGTTTTAGCACAGTAATATCTAGCTGCTGCCAAAAGTATATTCTTATAAACAAATGTTTGTACTGAAAATACGTATTTTAAAACCTTTGAAAGTTTTGCACATTCCATTTTGAGACTGGAGTGAAACCCTACAAGTCTCTAAGGCGGTTGGGGGGCGGCATGTGGAAGTAATGGGAGTTGGACACCAAATAAATTTCGCTGATTCCAGTTTTTCAACAAATGTTGTCATCAGCTCTTACCACAAGTGAGTGGCAGCAATCCTTAAATGCATTAACAAAACAGAAAAAACAGCCTTAGGGACCTGAAGTGTTGTGGAAATCATCAAAAAAGGTTTAAACAGGACTTCCTCTTGTGCCTTGAAGCAGTGCATGTTACCGAGTGGTAGACAAGACGAGCAGTGGCCTCATATCAGAGAGGGTTGTGATGTGCTTGGGGTTTTGGAGTACTTCCTTCACCAAAGTTGAATTGGAAATTAATATTCAATCTTAGTGTAAGCCTTTGTAATACACTCCACATAACTAGCCAGGGCAGTGCCATTTAATAGGAGTATACGAAAAGTGAGATGAGAAAGGGAGGCTGTGACTTGCGCAAGCCTAGAGAGGTGTCTCCCTGTTTCAGAAACTTTTTCCCCCCGAACTCAGGGCCTCTCCCATGATCCAGGGAGACCCACACCAAGGCATCCAGAACTTGCCAAGTAAAGGAATTCACTCGGTTTGGGGTGAAGTGTTGTGGGAAGCCAGCAGTGCCCGCTATGTGGGTATAGTTAACAATATATTCCACAGAAACAAAAAAGAGATTTTGGGGTGGAAGGGCCTTCAAAGTGTGCAGGAAGAAAAACATATCTAGCCATACCTTTACTGTCGTCCTTGGAACAAGGCAGAGCAGTGACTGGCACATGGCGAAAAAAAGAAATGCCAGGAAGGTAGTGAACTAAAGCGCCTTGCTGGAGCAGACGGCACCAGCAGTGGGTGCAGTGGCCCCAGCATCCTCCTCGTGAGCAGTAGCTCAGGTGAGTAACTTGCAGGAGTGCTGGACATTCTGGCATTAAAAGATTATCAGAATATGTGTGTGTGTATAGATACATATTATAAGTTGGCTAATGGTGGTGTGCACAGGCATTTGTTTAGCTGGAAACTGTAAGATTGGAAGGAAAGCCAGGCAGCGAGGCAGAACTGGTAGAACTTACGTTCTGTTTGCTACCTCTTTCCCCCTTATAGTAGTTTGTGAGATTAAAAATACAGATTTTGAGAATGAACTTCCATGCTAATGCTGAAGGAGAACGGGACCTGTTGTTTGGCGGAACGTCTAGTGTCTCCAGTGGGCTGGGGCAAAGCCGAGCATGGCAGTGCTCGCGGGGCGGCTGGGGAAGGCAGAGGCGGCACCTTCTCCCCGCTGCCCCTGGCTCTTCCCTGTGCCTCGGGTTTCCGTGCTCGTAACTCGCACCCGCTTGAAGACAGGCGCGGAGCGGAGCAGCGAGGGGCCCGCGTGGCCGGGGCTGCCGGCAGGAGGCACCTGCAGCGCTCCTTTGCCAGCAGGGCTGGCCCCGCGCACAGCGTGTCTGCGAGCTGCGCCTTTCTAGCAGGCCCCGGAGCTGCCTCAGCGCTGCAGCAGTTTGCCCAGCCTGCGGCCTGGTTTTAAAGGCATCCTGGGAAGGAGCAAGGCAAAGAGCAGCCTGCTTGAGTTCTCTGGTGGCCAAGGTCTCCCAGTTTCTTCTGCTGCCACCCTGTGTGTGCTTGAGTGGCTGCCATGGCTGTACGGGAAGACAAGGTGATGCCACACGCACAAAAAGGCCTCTAGAGAAGGCTGCAGTCTGCAGCGTAACCCCTGCGG